TTACACTCTCTCTCTTCCCCTTTCCTTGCACAACGCATTCTACCATGCTCATCTCCAATCTGGTTTCGTTTTACGCGTTGCGCACATCCCAACTCAGGCGGCCGAAAGCTAGGCAATGGCCTATTGCTGGCGGTGGGGGGGCAGAGTGAGGATGACCCTTAGCGTACTTCTTTCCTCACTATAATGAGGATTCCTCACTATAATGAATCCGACGCGCTTGAGTCTATCGCGGTGCGCTAAAAGCCTCGGCTTGGAGGGGGTTGCCAGCTGGCGGGTTAACTCGGACACTGCAGTCGGTCCAGTGTGTCTCGTTGTATGATGTGGCTGTCTGCGGGCTGAGAGTCAGATGCAATAGCGTTTTCTTAACGTGGCCTTTATTGCGCTCCCTGTCGGGAGTATACCTAGCGAGACGTGCTGTTTGGTATGCGTTTTGATTGTTTGTCGCGCCAGCCGTCTGCGCCCTTCTGCATTATTTCTTCCGGCCTTCTTGACTCTGTCTTGACAGCCAGGATTAGGTGTGGTTGTGGTCAAAGAGTGGGGTGGTCCCGGCGAGTTTGACTTTACTATTTTTTCTCTTTTGGCTACAGTCACCGCGTGCTTCAACTCGTTGAAGCCCGTAGTGGATATCGTCGAACACGACGGTTAAACTATCGTGTTTAGATTCTAATGGATTCTGACCTAGCCCAGTGAACTGATCACTTTCATTTACCTTATAACTTACTCGACCGTTCAAGTCGTGGTAAAGAGGATATCCGTAAATCGAACTATTTACAATTCATTTTGCGATATGAATTCATGGAATCTTAAGCTATTTTATAGTTCAGTATTATTGAATGAAAGATAGGCTAACGCCTTTTAGCTCCATATTGGTGACAGTGACTGAAAGATGCATCAATAGAATAGCGAAAATTCAAACACTATTGCAGGCGAAAAGTGAGCAGCCTTTAGTTAGTGGAACATAGTAAACAAACATCACTACTCACTTATCACGAGTAGGATAATTATATACTTATAGTATCTCGGCTTATAGGCGAGGCCAGTGACACAAAAATCAAAAAAGAGCGAATAGTGTAAAAAAACTCATTGCAGAGTTCTCGGAAACTACAGATGTGTTGTATGCGATTTGACGGATTTTAAGGAGAAAAATCTACCGTTCATGGGAGGAAAATGTACAGAAGCTAGGAACGTCTTGCTGATGAGGATGTGTGAGTGGGACAGGGGGACCCAACATGAATTTAAGTGTCCAAATCTCATTTCTCAGACTTCCAGGGGGTTTGGGAATTTCTAGTTTGATTCGGGCTCGATTATAAAAAGCAAAACAAGCTGATTTACATAGAAGTGAAAATGTTATCCAACATTTTGTTTGGAAGATAATTAGTGTCCTTGCATTCTGCTCGAATCGAGTAACAATTGAATTTGCTTAAATGTGGCAATCTGAGAACTAACTTTACAGATACTGCTGCTGCCCAATCCTTATTACCTTGCCTGACCTTGTACGGATGACCGTGCAGATGACTTGCCTATGCAAAATTGATGATATGCCCCGGTTTTAGTGAGAAATTGTGGCCACGGATAATCCGGAGCCTCCAGAGTAAGCCGCAACTTAAGTGCCTTAAGGCCAGGGGCAACAATTCAAGCTTTTTCAACCTACTTTAGTGAAGTGTATTCTCGAGACTGTCGACCAACTTAATTGCCCTCCGTTTCAGCTGTTCGAGGAGGCCAATATCGCCCTCCATCCACAGTGTTCAGACCGGCATTGAGTAATCTACATGGGGTCCCAAGCAGACGCCGAAGAGGTTTCCGAAGAATTCAGGAGCGAATATTCAGAAGGAATATTTTTACCATCTGGCTGGTTGGATGCAAATTACCAGTAACAGCCTGATCACCTTTTAAGGTGTTCTGACAGCATCATGT